CGCCCGCCGGACCAACCGCCCCCGGCCCCCTCTTAGCCGCTGGCACGGCAGACCCAAGCTGAACTCATTTCTTTCGGCTCTGCACTGACCGTTATCCGGTGGTGCCAACCCCCAGCACGCCCCAGGCAGCCCCAGACCGTGCCGGCCTGCAGCAGCTCCTCATAATGCCATCAGAAGTTCAGTCAATGGCATCACAAGTGTTCATGGTCTCCATCCTTAACTGAGAAAAACCACCTGAAACTAGGTCTGGAAGCCTGCAGGACAGGTAAGGTAGCAACCTCCCCGCGCCTGGCTTTCACTGGGGTCTCACACCAAGCACCGCTGGGTAGCAGGGCAAGGTCAGTCATCACTGCGGCCACACCGCAGGGAAATGAGGAGAGGTTCATTGTCTCAGGAACCTCAGACCACGTGGCACCTCTGCGTGGTTCAGTCCCAGATAGATCATACCTGCTGGGACGACCACTAACTGAGCAGAGGCCAGTAGTCATTGGCCACAAAGGACTTCAGATGTCCGAGGACAAAGGGACAAGGACTCTGTTAGAAGGCTGACCTCCTAAAGGAGAAGTGTGTGGAAACCTTTACTGATTCATATCTGGACTCTACACAGGGACAAGGTCCTCTTGTTTGAGCAGGAGACAGGAACGCCTGCCTCTCCCAGGCAAAACCCACCGTTGGCTGATGAGAGATGCTTTGCGCTGATGAAGGCAGGAAAGCTCTTCTGCATCAGGACCTCCCCAGAGGTCCGAGAGATGACTACCACCACAAGGGAGCTGCTCCAGATGAGAAACCCTGGCAGATGAGCTCTGCTGCTGGGATTGCCCTCTCCCAGACTGACCTTGCAAGAGTCCTGTGCAAACACCTCCCTTTCTCAGGGTGCTTTTGGTTCTCCCCTCTTTCCAACAATTTACCAAGTTCATTACTAAAACACCTGTATATTGGGGGAGGAAGCAACTGTCTGCTTCATGGGAGGTATCAAGCGTGACTGCAGAAAAGCTCCTCCTGCCAAAGCACTTTGTGGGCACGGCCCATGCACTGGGGGTTCAATCACAGCAGGAACCTTTGGGCTGTAGATGGCCAAACGGTCGGGGGGTACCGGGAGAGGTGAAAAGCTGCCTTACACCAAAGTGCTGAAGTTGCACATGTACTGTGCTGCCTGCTGGGCTGCAGACAGGTACCAGGGCAGAGCCTCATTTTCTGCACTCCCCTGGAGCTCCGGTGGTCACTAACAGGAATCACCTGTGTCATCTGAACTACATCTGCCTGGAGTTCCTCGGTCTTCCCCGCATGAACTTTGGGCGGTCCCCCACCATCAGGACTCCAACACTGCAGCGTTATATGGAGGAGCTGCATGAGTTAAGGTAGCATAACCCAAATCTCACACTTCAAGGTGTCCAGCACGGGGCTCAGAGGCAATCTTATCTTAAGTCAGCGCTTACCAGCCCGCTGGGTGCACTACTCTTGAAAGTATGTGGTGTTTGCTACTGATTTCAGGCTCACGAAACAGGTGACCTAATCTGGCCAATAGCACACACAAGAAAACAACTGATGCAAAGGCATAATAACAAAATTTAAAGCCAAGCTGCTTAAGCCAAACTTGAGATTCCTCAATGTGTGACTGCTGATGAAGTCAGCCCGTCGAAAGGTGGGAGGGTGGGCAGAGCAGCCTGGGAGACAAGGCTTGCAAATGAAGGGGGAGAGCTGACAGCCATCACTGGCAGGTATTTAAAAACAAAACACAACACAACAATGTAAGACGACATGCGATGGGCGGCAGGTAGATGTTTCCGGGACAGCAACAACTGGATTGCAAAATCCTTCCCCACCCAGCAAACCTGGAACTGCCCATCGCTATCAGCACTGGCTCATTTTTCTCTCCCCTGAAAACGCATCGAGATGTCTAGGAGCGGCAGCAACATTCCCACGACAAAGAGGGATTTGTGGTGTCCTGTGGGTAAGTGCCCTCCTGCCTAAGCATAAAACCGTCTGGAAACTGCAAGGAGCAAAAGAAGCAAGTGGAGCTTTTGCGATCCCAGAGCAGAGAGAGGGTGATGGGGCAGCCCCAGAGCCCTACATACCTGCAGCGTCTCTGTGTCCAGTTCTTGCCTCTTTAACTCCAGCTGTGTCAACTGCAATAACTCTTTTTCTATTAATTTAATCTAAACAGAAGACGAAACATTTTTTACTGACATTTGAAATAACTTTAATTTATGCCCTTTTAAAATGAGGTCTAACCGCTGCCATGGGAGGGACGGCGCCGCAGAGCCACCCAGAAGTTCGGGGAACCTGCTAATGCCCTTCCGTGATGCATGCTTTTAGGGTCACTCTTCCCCTCTTGCCTGAGGAGCTGTGTCCCCCGCTCCGTAATTGTCTCTCTACTCTGAACACCTTCTGTTCAAGTCTAGAAGTACATTGCAATCAGTTTGTTCAGCGAAACCTTTTGCAGCCACTCTGGAAGGCAGCAACTGATTGTCAAAGTCCTCCTAGCACCACCTGCAACCGCAGATTAACTGGGGCAGGGTTCTGGTTTCTAGATGCTCCAGTAAATCCCATAATGATACGTGCTCTTTCAGGTGGGGCAACTGAGACACAGAGAGGTGAAGTGAGTTGCCCAAGATCCCACAGCAAAGCCAAGATGAGAGCCCCGCTCACCTATCTGCCAGGCCGTCTGCATCCCCCGGCCACGCTGCTCAACGTGTGCCACCAACCACGAAATTCCTGCCGGCACCAGGGCTCTGCAGCAGGCGGTATCAGGGCTCCTGCCCTTCACTGCCTGCACAGGGTGCTGGTGGGCTGGGCTGGATTTCATTAATAAAAGGTCCAGCGATGGTACTGAGGAACAAACTCCCTTTGTTAACAGAGCAAGTGTGAGCAAACTACAGGGCTCTTATTGATGAACTCGAGCAACGGAGAGTTGTCAGACTCATCTCCTGGATTGTCCATGCACAATCCATAGGCTTCCAGCACAATGCAGTGAGTGGTCACTGAGTGACTCAATATATCCAAGCTCTTAAGCTTATCCACCAACTCCTGACCTGAGACTTTTCTGCTACCATCAGATCAGGAGAGGGAAGATTCTGGAGCACCATGTCAGAAACCAGCCACCCATCCTCGTGCATCAACCACTGCTACTTTCCCATCTTCGTGCATCAACCACCACTACTTTCTCCAACAGCTCTTGCTCTTCCCCCTGACTATCGCATTGCACCTTCTGCAGAATGGAGCTCAGAAAGGCAGGCTAAGAATGGGAAAGAAAAGGTGAACTCATGGCTCAAAGTGCAGTTCTGATGTGCTTGATGGAGATGCAGTGGACTCATGTGGAAACAGCAGCCCTGCTAAGTACACAGCCTGAAGGAAATCGTAGTTGCAATTGCAGACCGCCCCTACAGAGGCAGTGCAGGTCTGTCCTCTAGTGACCACTCTCCAGCACTTCATCCACATTAGTGCTGAGATGACTGAAGTAATGGCAATTCCGCTACTCCCCCAAATTTAAAACCTGCACTGACACTCCCTCCTGTGGAGCTGGGAGCCTGTCGTTTAACCAACTACACTGCCCAACGCTCTTAGCAATGCAAGAGCTCTTCATTGCCTCCAGACCCTGCTCTACGCTCGCAGCGCTTTGATCTTCCTCAGAAGCATCTCATCGAATGGCGGTATGGGCTGAGTAGCTGGTTGCTCTTTCTTCTGTTGCTGACTCACCTGATTCCTGATCTGCCTGTGCATAAGATCCTTCTTCACTTGCAGAGCTTCAAAGGCAGCTTTCTGCATCTCAATCTAAGGGACAGGCAAAATCCTGCTTAGTGAGGTTGTTGATGCAGCTGCAAATGGGCTGAGAAACCCCGTTACTTTGCAGTGACTCACGTTCAAACACCTGAACAGTGCTCACTCTGGGCAACAGTGTCCTCATTACACCACAACTTAGATCCCACAGTCCCAAAAGGTAAAACCCACTTTACAGACAGACACAGAAGTTACAGTCAAGTTCTTCAAACACACATTTTGAATGCTCTGTATGAACCCCACCTCTCATTTTCAGCAGCAGCAAGCACACGAGCTGTGCAATAGGGCACGGCTGCCCAGCACTTCTGAAAAATGGGCTGCAGAGGTCTCAGGTTCAAAATGAAGTATTCAAAAGGAGCAGAGGCTTTGAAAATGCTTCCTGCAGGCAGCTTGCCCCACATCACCCAGGAAACCCGCCCAAAACACAGGACTTCTGTCTCAAAATCCTCTCTATTAATCATCAGACCAGTTTTGCTTCCCATGGTCTGTGCTGCTGTCTTTTTGGAAAATTTGCTGCCTAGTTAAAAAATAAATACATTTTTCTTCCAACCACCCAAGTCAGTTTGTTAGAATAACAGAGATTCTCAAAGTTTAGCATGTAGTGTTAAATAACTTCTGCACGCAGCCCAGCCCAGCCCCCGTCGCTCCTGTGATCCACTCCTGATGCTGCTTTCATGTGCCGTTGCTTTCCCTTCACCCCTGCTGTCCCCACACGCAGTTTGCTCCCTCACCTACCTGCTGCAGGATCTGACTAACAGCTTTGTTCTGATCCAGCTGTTGCCAAGCCAGGATTTGCTGGAACTTCTGGTCCATCTCAGCCAGCCTGCAAGAAGATGGATTTGCCATGGCATTACTGCCAGGTCTGAGACTTTCGATACAATCAAGTGAAAAAACGGACAACAGGGAAACCAGGAATGGAGAAATTTGTTACCGAACAAGCGTTACTGGAGGCTGACAGATTTAAAACCTCCTTCCCTCCAACCAAACCAAACCTGCACCACAGACCAAGCCAGAGCAGAAGCACCGCTGCCTGCCCACGCACAGCTCAAAGGCCAAGCAGGGGCTGCTGCTGCCCGGCAAGTGCTCAGGTGATGAATTTGCGTGTCAGTATGCTGCACTGGAAGGGGGTGCTGACAAAGGACACTCTGACAACGTGGCCATATATCGCCTGCCCTTGCGAGCAGGACCGTGTCTGCCCAGTGCCCTCTTTTGGGCAGGTCACAGGCACACAAGGGCGTTTCTGTTCAGTGCCAGGTTAAAATTTCTCACCTTCTTGTAACTACAGAGAGCCAGAATGCTCTCTGTACCTACAGCAACGCAACAAGTCTTACATATATGCAAACAGCATCCTCAAGACAACCCTGGGAGGTGAGGAAAGGAGTTCTGGGGTAGAGTTTGACACTGAACTGGCTGACAGAACAGGAAGAAGACCAGTCTAATTTCATCCTCCATATTTAGCAGAATGTATAAAGTAAAATAAACAGTGTAAAAAAGTGATAGTTAATCCAAAATATGATTAACATGCATGTTCTTGTGATTAGGAGGTAGTTCATTTAATCAAGTTTGACAGTTTCTTTAAATTGCACTGTCACCTGCTCTGACACAGCTGTCCTGCTGCATTCCAGCAGGAGTTCCTGGGTGTATATATGGGAATTACACGGGGGACTGCTGGAAAGAAAGGGACTTTACAACAGTACCACCAGCCCCAGACATCTCCCACTGTACCTGGAGCAGGCCTGGTTAACAAGGTCTTGCCGACGAGACTCGTAGGTCATTTGGATGAGCTTGTTCTTGTAGCTCTCAGCCAGCATTTGTTGCATGGCAGCTAGGAGACAGAAGGGACATCAGTCTGCGTCAGGAGCAGGTGTATCGAACAGGCACTCATCTACCACCGCTGCTACAATCACTTGCAATTAACACTGCCTTCTCTCTCATTTCCAACCTGTCCTTAATTTTTCCATTTCATTCATTTCGGAGCACAATCATTCAGCTGCAAGAATCACAGCTACTTACTGGGAAATTAGATGAGCAAACACCACTCTGCCTGTGCTTGCATCTCTTCAGTGCTCAGAGGAGCCCCGTCACTGCCTACCGACCCTCAGACGGCTACAGCTCTGCCCATCCCACTGCCAGTAACCCATCCTTGGGGTGACAACACACACATTTCCTCTGCAACTCCAGATCTGTTCATGGTCATCACGAGCAGAAAAGGCTCCCTAGCACCATTCTTGTTTAGCGTACGCCTCCTGCCTCGTGAACCTGCTCAGTTAACATCTGTTTGGTACCTCTGAAATATGAAGCACTTTGTGTGACACGCTGTAGCTACACAGGGAGCACAGCTCGCACCTCAAGGAGAACTGGCAGTGAGCTGCAGGTGGAAGCAGCGGATCAGCTATGGTACACGTGCAATGCTACCCCCTGCAGCTCTGCCCCACTGCACCAAGCAATGCAGAAAGAACGTGTGTGTGACAGAGCATCTCCCATGTGGTTATCACCTATTCAGCGCATCTCTAGAGGAACCAGGTCTTTCTTACACTTTACCACCCCAAAGAGTTGTCTGGACTTACAGGCCACTTCCCTTCTGCGTAGATGCTCCGTCTCCTCCTGTGTGATTGCCATCAGCTGTTCCATCCTTATTCTGCCGAACAAACAAGAACAATTCAGCCACTCCTTCAAACAAGCACTATCTCACTCCTCCTCCACCCACCCATCTCAGAGCCTAAAGGCTGGGCAGATACACCCTGCCACCTCCTCAGGAAAGCCATGTGCTTATCAGAGACACAAAAAATCTCAGCGATTTTGTGGCAACGTGCCTCTACATCCATGGGAAACAACATCAATTTTGCTCAAAACCACGGGCACAATGGCTTCTTAGACTGGAACGCTGACCTTTCTGAGAAACAGAACATCTATGCAACATGCACACACTTACCAAACTCAGCACCAGCTCCTTTTTGTGCCTTCCTTTCTCTTGAGGCCTGACGAGCACTTTAAAGCTGACCTACGTGAGCAGTGCCACTGAAAGAAGCAGCCTGGCCTCCGTTCCCACCTCCCATGACCTTGTCCCAGCACAAACCCACACAATGCCACTTAACAGAACAGGAACTGGTATGGCTGGAAAACTATCTGACATACAAAGGGATTATTTTGCAGCCAGGTCAGTCCCCTCGTCCACTTTACTGTGTCACAGCACAAACAGTTGGCTATGAGGGGGTGGCATATAGGCAGGGGAGAGTTGGGGACAACCACTTTTGGTGGCAAAGCTAGCTCGAAGTGGTGGCTGAATGGCAGCCTTCCTTTCAATGCATTTCTCCCAACCTGTACACATTACTGGCCATCTTCATCAAAGTCTTGCTTTTCAACAGATAGAAGATTTCTGTCAGTCCTCGATAGTGGAATACAGGGGTTTGTTCCCAAACTCCTTAGCTGGGGCCATTCAGAGATGAAAAAGACATAAAATCACCATTCCATAGGGTTTACGAGACTGGGTAAGACCAGGCACATCTAGTCCAGTGTATTGCCTCCAAGAGTGACCAGGACAAGCTGTAGGCATGAGACAAACCTCCCCTGACCTAAGGTGGATTCAGACTGAAAGGAAGGTCCCAGCCCTCTTTCCGGCTTCTTGCCCCTTTTCTAGAAAAGCTTATTTCAAGGAGACTCACCTCTCATTCTCCAGGGATTTCAGAATGTCTGAACTTTGTTTTTGCCTAAAAAAAAGATAAAACAAGAGGTTTTCATCAAGCTGAGCAGGACATTCTACTCCCCCAGAGGGCAGAAAACGACTTTGCTTCTCATGCACAGAAGAGCAGCTTTAAGCAGGCTGGTAGCCAGCCCAGCACCAGCCCAGCAGGAGGTCCAGCAGATCTACATCAGTAGTACCTAAGAACCAGTGTTCAAACATGCACCTTCCATGAGGAATTCAAATTTTTTCCCCAGCACTGCAAAACTCCAACAGCACACATCTGTGCGAAACATAATTTTTTCAAGGTGCCAAATTCCACTTCCTTTAAATGGCAGTTTAAGGTACCACCTACGGACATCAATCCTGACCAATTCCATAATGCTCAGAAAGGGTCAAATGAACGGCTCAGAATGGGACAAAATAACACGAGCGCCGAGGGACAGAGATCACTGCAAGACACCCTGGGACCCTACCTCTGGTTGTCCTCTAGCAGCTTCTGGATACGGCTGGCAATGCCTTGCTCTGCTTGCTTCAACTGCTGCAGCAGCTTCAGGCGCTCCTCCTCCAAATAGCGCTGGTGCTTTGTCAGACCCTCCTCCAGCCTCATCTGGTCCTAGACCAAAGCAAGAGAGAACCCAAGGAGAACGTGGTCAGTTTAGGAACGGCAGTGTCTTGTACGGGGCCTGCCCAGAGGAGACCTACCTCTCTCACTGTCTGTAGTATCTCATCC